AAACACTCCTCGTCGGCTGTGTTCCCAAGTTATACATGTAACCACCTGAGTCGCTTTTAGCGAGATGCACATTGCCACAGGCATGTGTCCTGGGCGCTCGGTGGTAAGTCCAGGGCAGCTGGCCTTCTGGGTGTTTTTTGCCTTGCGCGTGAGAAGTTTGTTTTTAATCAATGCAGCAGGGGCGGTCCTTCCCCTGCAGGTCGATTTTTTTTAAACTAGTACAATGAACCCCACAGAATATGTGTTGACTTTCAGCTGAATAGCTGATTAAACTAATGTTGGTTTCCTTGACATGTTAACCTATGGTTGGCAGTGCCAGTAGCTATATGTAACACTATATTTCTGTATTGTTATATAGTAAATTTCGTTTTAATGAATTTGCTAACCTGACTGTGCAGACTGTTGAGTTTAAAGACATAATTAAAATTGGACGTACACATACCCAAGATGCCACCCCGTTGACTCTTGGACAAGAATTCAGTGGTTACACTACACAGGTAGGATTTATTCCAGCATCTTTTGTTGTCTTATTTATTAACTATATGCACTTAAGATTAACAGGTAGACTTAGTAACTGTTTATGACTCTATGCAGGTCAAATATGGAATTGACCGTATTAATTGTACATTACCTCGGATGTACCAGGTACTATACTGCTAATGTTTGTTTTCTTTACAAATTAGCACTACTGATAATTACCTTGCCGAGCAGCTTGCTCAAGGTGGAACTGCAGTTGGAACTGGCTTGAACACTAAGAAAGGGTAATTGTCAATTAATGTTTGAGATAATTTGTTTACATTGATACGTTTGATCGATAAATTTTAATTTGGTTTTGGATTAAGTCCATTTATGGCCCCTCAACTCTGGCGTTTGTCTAATTTTAACCCCCAACTATAAAACCGTTTAACTTTGACACCTCAACTATCAAAACCATTTAACTTTGACACCTCAACTATCAAAACCGTTTCATTTTGACCAGAGTCATCTGAAGAACTGCTTTGGGTGTCAAAATTGAACGGTTTTGATAGTTGATGTGCCAAAGTTAGACAAAAGCAAGAGTCGAGGGGTCAAAAATGGACTTAATCAAGTACTTTAGTTTTTTAGATATTTATGCAAAATTATATATTTAGATTTACTTCTTGAGTTACCTAGTAGTCTATCACCATTTGCCTCGGGAAGAGAATCCATGTAACCCTGTCATCCAGAGTGTCATGAGCCATGACATAACCCAGATTAATCTGTTCATTCCAATTCGTTTCAATACTATCCAGTTTCTTTTCCAGTTTGACCTCTCATGTCTACTTCTGGATTAAAAGAAGTGAGACATGGAGATTTGAGTATCCAACCCAAATTGTTTTTTTTTTCTTTTATATGGTTAATCATTACTAATCTTATGGTACTTGATTTAGGATAACTTTGAAACAGAGTGTTAATTCCATGCTTTACCTAAAGCGTTCCTTTCATTTATTAAATACTTTAATTTCAATCTGTCTTTTCAGATTTGATGTCAAAATAGCTGCTGCAGTGGCTGAGGAAACAAACCTACCCTTTGTGACAGCAGAGAACAAGTTTGAAGCTTTGGTTAGTAACAATGCACACATATAAATCTTATACTCTGATCTGCCACTAGCCACCGAAGGTTTCACACAATTTTATTGGATATTGCATGACATTTTAATTGCAGTGTCTGAGGCTATAACTGCCTGCAGACATATTCGTCCACTAAACACAGATATTAGGTATTTGCAATGGAAGATGATTTGTGGAAGATCCTTATCATCTTCTCCATTTATTCCATGCTACCTTAGATCCATGCGTATAAAACAAGGAATTTGTTAGTGCTTAGCAGTCGAAAGTGCATTTTTAATGTTGCCTCAGAAAATGAAAATAACAAGTATTTGCGAACTGAAACCAACGGACGCAAATATCATCTGTTCCCAAGTTGAGCAGATGAAATATTAAGATGTGTATGTCACTTTCAGTTATTTTATTTGATAGTTGTTAGGCTTTGTTCTTTATAGAAGCAAAATCCGACCACTTCTTGCTTGTATAGTGTACTTAGTATGGCTTTTGGTTTTATTGTCTCGCTAACTTTTCTTTTTCTAATTTTGTATTATTCAGACCCTCTATTATGTATTATCTCATCACTGTATGTTCTCATCAGTTTTTTCTTATAAGTAGGCAGCACATGACGCTTTTGTCGAGAGCAGTGGAGCGGTAAATACAATTTCTGCATCTCTTATGAAGATAGCAAATGACATACGCTTGCTAGGAAGGTCGTTATTCCAATCTTCTATTTTTATAAATGATTTTTCTAGCATTCTGGGGGCATGCACTAATATTTCCAACACAATCACAGTGGTCCTCGATGTGGTCTTGGTGAACTAATCCTACCAGAAAATGAGCCTGGGAGCAGCATTATGCCTGTAAGCAGACTGTTAGTATATCATGTTATGGTTTTCATATGTTTATCAAAAGAAGACATCATTCCGAAGCTTCTTTTTCAACTTGTACTTTTCAGGGAAAAGTTAATCCAACCCAGTGCGAGGCTCTGACAATGGTTTGTGCTCAGGTACACAAATAATGTTTGTTTTCTCTTCTGAAAATAATCAAATCTCCATATTGTATTTTTGACAAACATTTTTCCTGTTTGCTTTATGTTCTTGATGAACAGCTTTTCCTTTATTTGAAAAGCATTTATGTCCCATTGGTATACCATTTATTTAGTCATATATATTTATGTTATGGTTCTCATAATCCGTATCAAACTCATAATCCTAGTGAGGACTACATATTCATCTATTATGATGTTTAATGGTTAAGGTGATCTGCACCTCATAACTACCTTCCAGCTTGCTTAGTTAGTCAGAAACATTTTTAGGGAGCAGTTGTCATTTCCTGTAGAAATTACATATATCTGAGTCATTTAATTTGTCTGATGCAGTGCCTTTTACTATATTTTTAAAACTAAATGTTCGATAAGTAGCAAGAGCATCTGAATAGCGATCAATAACAAACAATTGAGTTGGTAAAAATGAATGCTACTAGCATACCTGACAAATGAAATATGCTTATATGAGGTGCCCTCCACCTTTACTTTCTGCAAATAAGCTGAAATCTTGGTACCTGACTGGGGCTGCTGCTGAACCATATTTTGTCTTGACATTCTATTTCTTTTTGCATTATTTATACTCTAGCATATGCATTTGACTATCTGAATTTTAACAATTTCAAATAACTGTCATTTGGATGATGGCATTGCAGGTTATGGGTAATCATGTTGGTGTTACAGTTGGTGGTGCAAATGGGCATTTTGAACTGAATGTTTTTAAGCCAATGATCGCAGCCGGACTACTTCGAGTATGCTTTCTATTATAATACTTCAATATGCTTAATTTACTATAGGAACTTTTTCTAGCCTCATAAGCCCTCTTATTGTTTTAGGTACATAATGTTAATGTGAATTGGTAACTTTAACCTCCTAAATTTTTACTGCAAGTGTTTTTAACCATTCCTTTTTTCATCAGTCATTGAGGTTGTTAGGGGATGCATCTGTGTCCTTTGAGAAAAATTGTGTCAGGGGAATTCAAGCAAACCATAAGAGAATTTCACAACTTTTGCATGAGGTAACAATCCATCACATAACTACTGAGTACTCGCAAAAGATATGTGTATAAAGTGCAATACTTATTTCTCTTCCCTTTTTGTCCAGTCTCTGATGTTGGTGACATCTTTGAACCCTGTAAGTAAACTGCAAATTTGCCTTTTTTTAAATCTCTGTTTGTAGTTGTAAAAAGTAGTGAGTCATGCTTACTTTTGGAATGAATGCAGAAAATTGGCTATGACAATGCTGCAGCTGTTGCTAAGAAAGCCCACAAAGAAGGAACCACGTTGAAGGTGATCTTGCTTTACTTATTTCACTTTGCCTTGGCCTTGCTCTGCGGTGTATAGTGCATTATCTTAGCTTAGGTGACTTGCGCATGTTGATATCTTGGCCTGGTTGCCTGAACCATTCAATTCTTAAGGCATTAGATATCGAAAACTTGAATCAGGACATTAATCATGTGATATAAGTTCATTCTCCATTCCCTCGTCTATTCATATTTTGTAATTTTCATTGATTTTACATTCTTTAAACTTCTTCCATGTTATTATACACCTAATCCTTTCTTGATTTTATCTTTTCCCCAGAAAGCTGCATTAGACCTTGGAGTATTAACGGAGCAAGAATTCCATGAGCTTGTTGTCCCAGAGAAAATGATTGGTCCTTCTGATTGATAACCCCATGTTCACTATGTTTCTTTGAAGCATTGAGGTTGCCACATCCGCGAGTTCTGGTGGTTTCCTGTGATGCCAACTTAATGATTCTAGTGCACCCGTAAATAAACCAAATAATTTTTCATATGGTCATTAGGTCCTCTCAACACTGGAGAAATGATTTTTGCATGGCGGATGGTACCTGAGAAAACAATTGTATGCTTGTTCCAATAGGACAATAGGGCACTTTGATGCATGAGGCACCTTCCATTCTCCAGGCATCAGTCATTTTCGTCAGCATATGATTCAACTGGAGCGTTTGGACCCCCTGCGTCCTTGTTAGCCTCGTTATCAGATGCTGCAGCATTGCTTGAGTGGGATCCTCTTCCTGTTGTTCCCCAGATTTATCTTTTATCTGGAAATCTCGTGCTACACTGCGCTTGGCATTTCTCAAAAGGTTTACCTTAGTGAGTTTGCTTAGCTGTATTAGATACTTCTCATAATCCTCAATCTGATAAATTAAATCAGGGATACATTTGGTTTCTCTTCTAATTTTAGCGATGTTCGCCTTTCTGGGTATTTGCTGATTCTGCAACAAGAAAGAAAACAGAAAAAACAAGTTAAAACCACAGTTATAGAAGCCATGCGCATCAATGCTGAATTTAGAAGATGAAAAAGACCTGTTGAGACACAAGGTCGTAAAGGGGAGTGGTGAGCATCTTGCAAGTTACTTCAGCCAGTTTCTAAAACTTGAGGCTTGGAATGGATTGTGTGTAGCCTTTAGGTGCAATCTGGGACTTTGACATGCGAGTTAAAAGCTTGTAGAACTTGGCAGTCAATTTCAGAAAGTGTTCTGCTTGAGTATCTGAGAATGCAAAGTTCAAATCAGGCCACAAGTAGAAATGGAATGAAATGGACATATTATGGTACCTCACAACATACCCTTAAGGCTCATATGTGCAAAGGAAGAGAGGACTTGAACTACTGATGTTGATCTCGAGTAGAGTGCTTTCTCCAAAGCCAACCTTAGCATTATTTCATCTGCTGGTTGATCTTCATCAATGTTAGCAGAATCATAACCTAATGTAAGCATTGCTTTAAGCTTTCCAAGACCCCAATCCAATTCAGTAAGAGATGACTCAACCATTTGAAGTGAGACAGCAGCAAGTGAGCTCTTCGTTTTACAGTTAATTATATGAAATGTATCAGAAGAATCTCCGTCATCTCCAGAGGTCATTAATTTCATCAACTCAGCAGACACGTCACAAACAAGAATCATGTCATCTGGAGCTGGTGTAAGATGTATAGCTAGCTTTACCATCTCTCGTGCGATACTAGGACTTTGCCTGGTTTTCTTTTTACATAGATCTGTAGCCCGTTTTCCAATAAGAAACTTTGTTCAAGATGCACTTTTCTTGAAATGCCCAAAATCAATTCAGTTACAGCCTACAGAAATGAACAAGAACTTTAGTATATCAATTCAGTTTTCTTTATATGCTGTTTCATGATAGTTGATTTATAAAGAGTTATTCTCAACAGAAACACAACATTTGGAGATCTGTAGCCCGTTTTCCAATAAGATCCTTTGTTCAAGATGCACTTTTCTTGAAATGCCCAAAATCAATTCAGTTACAGCCTACAGAAATGAACAAGAACTTTAGTATATCAATTCAGTTTTCTTTATATGCTGTTTCATGATAGTTGATTTATAAAGAGTTATTCTCAACAGAAACACAACATTTGCATGGTACAACAAAGCAAAGGCAAGGAAAGTGATCAGAGTACTTTCCACCAAACAAAATAGAAAGTGCTCAAATTATGACTGTACAGGTAATGCCAGCCTAGAAGACCCCTCATACTTCCTATGAAAATATATTGATGTTTTAGGTGAATGGTGACTGTAAATTTAAGCTGGCTGAAATTACGTTAGTGTGCAGACATCCATAATAAATAGATAACACAGAAGCATCTAGTGTGCTACCATGTTTTTAAATTGTATAATGGAGCCAATTCCTAATGGAATCAATCAATCAGGCCGATTAGTCAACTACCCCCTCCGTTCCAAATTATAAGTCACTTTGACTTTTTTGGTACATCAATTTTACTATGTATCTAGATATAACGTATGTCTAGATACATAGCAAAATATCAACAACAACAACAACAAAACCTTTTAAGTCCCAAACAAGTTGGGTAGACTAGAGTTGAAACCCAGCAGAAGCAAAAGGTTCAGGCACGTGAATAGCTGTTTTCTAAGCACTCCTATCTAAGGCTAAATCTTTGGATATATTCCATCATTTTAAGTCTCCTTTTATTGCCTCTACCTAAGTCAACTTCGGTCTTCCTCTGCCTCTCTTCACGTTACTATTCTGGCTTAGGATTCCACTACACACCGGTGTCTCTGGAAGTCTTCGTTGGACATGTCCAAACCATTTCAACCGGTGTTGGACAAGCTTTTCTTCAATTGGTGCTACCTCTAATCTATCACGTATATCATCATTCCGAACTCGATCCCTTCTTGTATGACCGCAAATCCAACGCAACATACGTATTTCCGCGACACTTATCTGTTGAACATGTCGACTTTTCGTAGGCCAACATTCTGCACCATACAACATAGCAGGTCTAATCGTCGTCCTATAAAACTTGCCTTTTAGCTTTTGTGGTACCCTTTTATCACATAGGATACTAGATGTTTGGCGCCACTTCATCCGCCCGCTTTGATTCTATGGCTAACATTTTCATCAATATCCCCATCTCTCTGTAGCATTGATACTAAATATCGAAAGGTATCCTTCCTAGACACTACTTGACCTTCCATACTAATATCTTCCTCCTCCCGAGTAGTAGTGCCGAAGTCACATCTCATATACTCAATTTTAGTTCTAAGTCTAAAACCTTTGGACTCTAAAGTCTCTCGCCATAACTCCAGTTTCTGATTCACTCCTGTCGACTTTCATCAACTAGCACTACATCATCCGTGAAAAAAATACACCAAAGGATGTCCCCTTATATGTCCCTTGTGACCTCATCCATCACTAAGGCAAACAGATACATAGCAAAATATATGTACCAAAAAAGTCAAAACGACTTATAATTTGGAAGGGAGTATCTTTTAGTATGCTGACAAAGAGACCTGACCATCCTAATTCTACATATGATCCAGTAAAATTTCAAACCATCCAATGCTGCTTTCAATCCCAGATCACAAACATATTTACCTCAGATTCACGTAAAAGTGATTGGGCAAGAAGTCTAGCATATAACGTCTTCAATATGTTCAAAAGCATATGGACATTTCTTGTGCTTCGATCTTCAACCATAGTGGTATCATTATTGTCAAGATCCACAGCATCCATCATATCCTCTATATTTGGCGGAGCTAAAGATATTAGAAAATCAATGACATCACTAGAGTGATCTCCTGAAACACTTGGCTCAAGGAATTTGTTTAGGCATGTCAGAGCCAAATATAACTGATCATTTTTGCACTCAATGTTTTTCTTTCCTTGGGTCATGTTCCTCTTGCTTCCACCATTTTCTTGAACTGGATCTAACAGAAAACAACATACGAGCTGCATTATTGGCTGGCATAACTTTTTAAAATCTTCATGCAGCTTTATTCTGAAGCCCCTACTGTCCTTTGATGCAAGTGATTTCGACAATTCAAGAAAGGCTTTCAGTACAAAAGATGTCAGATTGGAGCTCTGGTTCAATGTAGTTTGGCTAGGATGCTGACTAACGTTGTTGTAGTTATCAGCATGGCACTGCTTGACACACATTACCGAAAGTTCATACAAACTCGAATCTGCAAATTTACTCCTCTTTCCATGAAGTTTCTGCAATGAAGCATTAGAATTCTCCCTGGGTTCATTGGTGTGCTTATCTGTAGCATCACAAGCATTCGCTCTTCTCCATGCTATCCTTTCCCTACCATTGCTCATTTTTTTCTCAAAGCCACTGTGCACATTAACAAGCTCCAGTATTTCTTTTTCTATCATTTCCTTCGATTCATCAGAGGCTTTCTCCAGTTTTGAAGCAGCAAAATAAAAAAAAAAACCTCAATGATTCCAAGCATAGCAAAGTTATGACAGTGAGCAACTTCCGATGGTGAAGAAAGAGATCCAGCTTCTTGGCTTTGTCCTCTCTGGTCTGTCAACGTGCAGAAATTATAAGCGCAGAAAAATGTCCTCTTGAATAGCATTATTGTGCTCGGATTGGCTTGCTTTATCTATGACATATCACAAACCTGTGAGGGATATCCTCAAATACTTTTGGATGCTTGATAGAGCTTTCACGAATAAATCACTTGATGATGCTCGTCCAACCTGAAAATAGATTGGGTTATAAAAACATAGAACAAGACTAGAACGAGAGGCATAACATCAAAACCTTTAGCTGTTTATCAACAGAAGTCAGGAGGAGATAAACCAACCTCATTATCTTGTGAAGCAGCAAAACCAAAGCACTTCCAATATGCATCACGTGGCCGTTCACATTTACTATGTTGCTTAATTTGCAGAATTCTTGAGATACATGACAGCAGACAATCTAAAGGTTCCACGATGCATAGTTTGGCATGCTCTACTTTGAAGCATGAACCAATTTTAAGAGGGCATTCTGCATCCTAAAGCAAATCAGAAACAAAAACTCATGAGACCAACTTCATTTTGCAAGGATGCAGTCAAGAGGATTACAACATATTTTCAGAAATAAGGGTCTACATCGACCAACAAACATAAACAGAAAAAAGGGTCTGTCAGGGAGTGTTACCTTGAGTAATAGTTTTGGAAGTGAGGCCAGGGGAAATCAAGGACATTGTCAGAAACAGCTAGATCAGAGGTAACAATACGTATAAGACCCTCATACAAGATCTCTTTGACACTGGCCTGCAAGAGCAAACTAATTATGCTGGGAACTGTATGTCTTACTACAGATGAAGCAGTTGTTTGGTAGTACATCATAATGAAAGCAGTGAAACCTGATGCGAGAGACATCTCCGAAGCAATCCACTTAGTTCCTGAAAGAGACCCCTACCAAACTCTAGATGTGTTTCAGGCTGTTGGCTAGAGCTTGGCTGACTTGTTGAGTCTTCAAAAGGACTGGCTTCATTTTTCCTGCTATCGGCAATAATCAGCTCAATTATAGCATTTGTAGCAGCAATTCGGACCATGTCCTCCCTCTTGAACATCGCCTTTCTTACAACCAGTATTATGTAATCCTGTAAAAATACACTTCAGAATAATCAAACGAGTCTTTTCCAGCCACATAAGCACAAAATATTGTTAAGGCTGAAGACCTTCAGATCACGGCTGAACTTTGTGAGTGGCAAGACGCAACTGATCAAACCAGTTGATATCTTGTCATTCATAAAAGAAAAATAATCCAGCAACTCCTTCAAATGTGCAATGAATTCCAGCATTGGAAATGGATGACTCAAAATCAAGCACCTGAGCAACCTGCAATGAAAAGATGGTCAGACATTTCCTCAAAAAGAAAAGGTAAACATATTGAACTGTAGAATACAACTTGTGCTTTGTAAATTTTGACTAGGGTTGCTATGTCGTATGACCTGAGAACAGGCGCACTTTGCTGAGGCTTTGCCGAGAGAATCCGGAACTTGCACTGTTCAATTATCTGAGTTTTCAAAATTGAAACACACCATGTCATATCAAATAAACCAATTTCTAACTATGATCCGACTTGTTAAGACAAAGGTCATGCTGTTTCGATACGTACCTCAGTTCGTGCCATTTCATGGATCTCAAACAATGACTTAAGCATATTAATGCCTATTTCTTCGGTGTTCATTACTCCTTCACCTAAGCCACCTTCCTCCCCTTGATCACCATCTGAGACTTCTAAAAGGAGAAAACCCACCTGAACAATGCTTGGCACAACATGCTCCCTCCCAACAATGCTCTCGTCGACCTGCATATAAGACACCGTATACACCCCAAAAAGGACTATGAATCTAAGCAGACTTTATGATCAGTTCACAACTGACATGGCAGGTACTATGAGATATGAATCCCTCACAGATTTCAGTAATCCCTTCTCCACACATTGAGTGGCCCGTGCATATTCCTCTTCCATACAATCCGGTAACCATTTGCACCGCCTGAGAGACACAAGCCTTTGATCAGAACAAATTTCTAGAGCAAACACGAGTAATTATAATAGGTAGAATAACGAGCTGACCCATCACCTTGACATTCGGTAATCCCGGCGGGACACCACGGCTGCATCCCGGAGCACATTCACGGCACCCTCGTTGAACCTCCGCACCCTGGCCACGAACAGCATCACTGCCACCGCGAATCCACTGAGAGCGCCCGCGGCGTCAGCCTTGACGGCGGCCAGGACCTGCCTCGCCAGCGCGGGGTCCTGCTTGACCGCGAACGCGACGTTCATCAGCGCGGTGCTCTCGACCTGCCGCGCGATGGACGGCGGCGCGCGAACGCGGGCTCCGCGGCGGCCGACGAAGAAGCGCAGGAGACCCGCGAGGACGACGCGCGGGTAGAGCGGCTTGGACGCGAGCAGGAAGAGCTGGTAGGCGAGGGCCGGGAGGTCCTGGGCATCCGCACTTGGGAGGAGGGAGATGATCTTCCCGAGTAAGGAGGGGATGCGGGTGCGGTAGGCCGACGGGAGGTCGCGGAGGAGTGCGGCGACGGCGAGGAGCGTGGAGGAGGGCCAGCTGGGCGCGGAGAGGAGGGCGGCAACGCGGTGGAGGCGGAGGCAGGGGAGGGCGAGAGCGCGAGGATCGCCGGGAGAAGAGCGAGGTGGCCCGAGGGGGAGGCGGCGGTGAGCGAGGCGAGGATGTCGGCGAGGTCATCGGGCGGGAGCTCCGGGAGGAGGGGCACCGCGGCGGAGGGGTCGCGCGAGGCGAGGCGGAGGACGGCCTCAGCAGTAGGCGGTGGCGGCGGAGGTTGCTGCGACGAGGGCTGACTGGCAGAGGCCGTGGTCGCCGACATCGCCGGAGCGGGAGACGGCGGCGGGCGGTTCGGATGTTCGGGCGGGAAATGAGTGGGGTTTTCCCTCGCTTGCCTGCTTTCCCTCACCGAGTCCCGCGAGGAGCTATCTTAACAAGCTTGGTCGTTTCGTAGCCCAGATTTTGGGCCCGCCCATGTGCATCTGACCCGGGTTATAGAACTTTTGAATTGCGTGCTGTGACTTGTGACTACGATAACGAGGGGTGAGGACGTCCTTACGTCCGGACACTGTGTTCCCAAATAAAAAAAATATATCTCTCACTTCATCTCACGTGCTCGTCGTAGGCTCCGCACTGCTTCCTCCACCTCGTGCTTGCTTGTCGCAGACAGCTCTGCTTTCTCTACCCCGTGCTCGCCTCAGGCTCCGCTCCGCTTCCTCCGCCCTGTGGCCCTCGCGCGCCTCTATGACGCCAGGCTCCGGTGCTTGAGTTGCACCTCCCGCTCTTTCCCGCCCTCATCATCGTCGCTGGTGCCGACGTCCTCCTCATCACCTCCTCCTATGGCTTGAGACGGTGAGGTTGTCGCAGCCGTGCTGTACTTCGCACCGGCATCGCAGCTCCTCACGTCCCGGTAGCGGAAGAAGCTCGCGGGGAGCCAAGCCCGTGGTGCTCTTCACTCCGCCGCCTACCAACCCCGATCTGCCCATCGAGGCGGTTATCAAGTTCCTCAGTGCACCTGACTTGGTGGTTGCCGTCCACTAGAGCGCCGCGCTTGACATGTTGCAAGCGTTTGTTATAAGTGTTTCAGATGTTTCAGAGATATGTTGCAAGTGTTTCATGTGGATATTATAAAAGCATATCAGGATGTTGCATATGTTGCAACTATTTCAAAGGCATGTTGCAAGCGTTTTTTATTTGGATGTTGCATACATTTCACACATGTTGCAAGAGTATGTTACAATGGTTTCAGCTGTTTCTAGTCATATGTTGCAGTAAGTTTTTTCATGTGCAAGTGTTATATCTGGATGTTACATATGCTTCACACAAATATTTTAAGTGTATGTTCCAAATGTTTCATCTGCTTCAGATGTATGTTGCATTCAAATGGTTTCAGAGGTGTGTTGGGCGCGGCCCGTACGCGGCGAGCCAGGTGCTGGCAGTTGGGGCGCGTGCCTGAGTCCTGCGGCTGTGGATGGGGGCGTGCTCGTCCTCATCTTGACTCCTGGGTCCCGCCCGCATGGAGAGAGAGAGGGGCAGGGTCGCTGGGAAGGAGCCACAGGTGTAGCGACAGGGGCAGAGTGCGCGTACGGGGTGGAGTGAGGCAGGAGGGACGGGCTGCGCGGACATCCAAACGCGCGCGTTTGTCCAGACGTCCGGGCGCTAGCCACTCTCTTAAAACTACGTGCAGGTTACCCAGCCTGCTTCAACAAGAACACTGCCATTTTCATCAAAAAAAAACAAGAACACTGCCAGTGCCCAGCCCCAGGTCTCAGGTGCCAGCTGACGCCGTGTTTAGTTGAAGGGCAAATTCCAAAAAGTTGCCAGCTGAATATTTTGTTCCCCTTCCGAGAGAAAGAAAAACTAATTAGTTTGGTGGGAAATTGTTAACGTAATTAGTCAATGTTTGGACACTATTTACCAATAAAATAAAAAGAAGGTCTTCTGATTTGCCCCAAAATCCAAAATTCGCGAACTAAACAAGGGCTGAATATTTTGTTCCCCTTCCGAGAGAACTGTAGTTAGTGTTAGCCATTGTTGGAATAATATATAAAAGAGTAGCAACAATGCACAATTAAATAATTAATCACTCATCTTGGTAGTGTGCAGGTAGGCCTTGCTCATACACATCGCCTGACGTCCTTCCATCCATCCAGGTTGCAGCGAGGTCGCCCCGCTCCCGGACTAGTCACCAGGCGATGTCACCCGTCTCGCTTTCTCCCCGATCTCCAGAATATCTCGGATTTTTTATGCGCTGCCGCCAGCACGAGGACTCGCGTCCCACCATCCGCGTCGCACCAGCGCCGCGACGTGTCAGGCTCTAGAACGTTTCATGGGGCCGGATCTGCATGTTTTTTGTGACGTCAGCGTCACCTTCCACTGACTTTCGGTGAGCTTCCGCGCGCCGTTCGACACCGTACCTGCTACCGCTAAACCACGAACCGGAGCAAGTAGCGGTGCGCTATCAGCTGTGGTGACTACTGACTACTCCCTGCGTCTGCTGACACAGGCCGGCAAGGAATGAGCACGCGAATCGTATCTGATTCCCCGGTTTGTTACCGGCCGGTCGCTTACCTTACCGCACTCAACGAAAAGCAGAGAGACTGGGTACCCAGTGTAATTGCTAAGTTAGGGAACAGGTGAACATCCTGAGGTCAAGCAAGTGTGAGATGGATTTCGCCGCGTGCTCTGTATGTAACACTACCACGGGCACGGCCCGGCCGGTGAGTCGGTGCCCACCGGGCGTTTGCTCTGGTTCGTCCATTGTGATAGATAGATATGCCTTTTGGTGCAGAATCTGAGACTGATGAGGCGTGCGCTCGTCGTGTTTCCCAGAAACGATACATCCAACACAAAAGCTATTGAGATACTCAAACCTAAAATGAGTCTTTAGTAGGATATCTATAGTCTCCAACAGAGTATCTATATGGAAGACTCATTTTGGATGTCTGAAGAGGTATAACCCAAATCTGAGTATCCTCTCTCCTGAAGACCCATTTACAGAAATGGTTATTTTTTTGGATCGTGTTGTTGAAGAAGATCAAAAATAAGTATTAAACCTTTTATCTGTAGCGCTATATTAAAGGACGAATGAATCTTGTATTTTGAGTCACGGTTCTTTGAGACAGTCTAACCAATGCAAACACCTTTTTCCTGCGCGACTGTGAGGCAGTGTCACATAGCTAGTGTTACATATACCCCCTGTCCGGTGTATGCGATTGCCTTGGCCGTTCTCCCTCATAATCTCCCCGCGTCCATCCTCGCTGAACAACAAAGTCGCTCGCAATGGCCAATCCGAGCTTCCTCGTCGGGATCCTAGGTCAGTGTTCATGTTCATCCTCTCCGAGGGCACCATGCATGCATGTTTCGTGTTTCCTTACCCTTTTTTACCCCTTTAACATCAACCAACTAGTTCCGCCTTGATGATTTGTTACCCTCTGCCTCACACCAGGGAACGTGATCTCCATCCTCGTCTTCGCGTCTCCGATGTGAGTTCCATCATTCCACACTGCACAATTTCTGTAACCTACATATCTCTATGCAGCTTGAAAGTGCCTGCCACGGGCTGATTGCTGACGAACACGGAGCTCGATCGATCTCTGTTTGTTTACTCCAGCGCGACGTTCCGGCGGATCGTGCGGAACAAGAGCACGGAGGACTTCAGGTGGCTGCCGTACGTCACCACCCTGCTCAGCACCAGCCTCTGGACCTTCTACGGCCTCCTCAAGCCCCACGGCCTCCTCGTCGTCACCGTCAACGGCGCCGGCGCCGCGCTCGAGGCCGTCTACGTCGCGCTCTACCTCATCTACGCGCCCAGGGAGACCAAGGTTCGATCAGTTCATATACATAATACATGTGGGTCTCGCTCGTACACTAGTAGCATATCCTCAGCTTAATTGGCAACCTCCCGAATCGAATCGAACGGCAACGGAATCCTGACCTGAACAATGTCTGCTGACTGCTGTGGTTCTCACTTCTCAGGCGAAGATGGGCAAGCTGGTGCTGGCCGTGAACGTCGGCTTCCTTGCCGCGGTCGTCGCGGTGGCGCTGCTGGCGCTGCACGGCGGCGCCCGGCTGTTCGCGGTGGGGCTGCTCTGCGCCGCGCTCACCATTGGGATGTACGCGGCACCGCTGGGCTCAATGGTCAGCATACTCTACTGAGAATATCTTTTTTTTTCTCGAATACGCAGGTATTGAGAATATCACCCCCGTCCCTTCCTGTCCAGTTACGCCTGCGAAACAGAGTATCAGCCGTTCTTTAGTTCTTGGGCGAAAAAAAAAACTAGTTTTCTAGCTCGTGAACAAGTTCAGTACGTGGTAGCTGTACGTATGAATTTGTTTCGCGCTTTTGGTAGTAACTTGTTTCGGTGTCTCTGTTTCTCTTGACTTGAGATGATGCCTCTCTTAGGGAACGAAAGCTGATCGTATATCTGAAGAGACACCGTATACGTACGTACGCTCCTTTCTAGAGTGTGCCGACCTTAGAATGCTAATAAGATAAGATGATTGATACGTACCACAAAAGACTAGCTGATCGCATCTACTTTCTTACCCGTCATTGAGTGTTTGGTCTCATGTCATTTTCTCGGACACTTGTAGCACACTGCAAGCGGTAATGTCTATCTAGCACCAACTCAATTATACCTAACCACGCTTTAACTAAAATATCTTCATATCTAATAGGGCTAATTTGGAGGTTGGAGCTCCGGCCAACTTCGTTTTTTTTTCATGCACTGGAGTTATATTATACTCGATCCTAGCGAAGAACTTCGGTTTCAGTTATATTATCTCTCGTCTAAAAGTGCATTAGCAAGAACTGAAACCGAATAGAACCGTGCGACCCCTGCTGTCCCAAGTCCCATGACCCATGCAATATGATCTACTATAGCTCACCGACACCAAGTGACACGGACATACATGACGGGATAACACTAGCGCAGCTAATTCGTATGGAGTACTTAAGTAATGCATTGTATATGTAGCAAAAGATTAAATGATTAATTATAGTCGACACAAAATATGACCACCGACGACTGACATTTACTACAAGAGAGCACTAGATTTTTTTTTATCAGTCGGATGACGCGTATTACAGACTTATAGCGAATTGACCATATACAGTACATGCCTAGCTATGCCTTTGATTTTTCCACAAAAAAAAAATGCATGCAGCGGACGGTGGTGAAGACCCGGAGCGTGGAGTACATGCCCTTCTCCCTCTCCTTCTTCCTCTTCCTCAACGGCGGCGTCTGGAGCGTCTACTCCCTACTCGTCAAGGACTACTTCATCGGGGTGCGTAGCACGCGTACGCGTTGCTTTGCGTCACACTATTTCGCTCATTTTCCTTGTACTCGATCGCGATATATTAACTGAACCAAGCACATATTTCGTACCGCCAGATCCCCAACGCCATCGGCTTCGTCCTGGGCACGGCGCAGCTGGTCCTGTACCTGGCGTACCGGAAGGCGGCGCCGGCAAGGACGACGACGACGAGGAGGCTGCTGCGGCATCCGGGGACGAGGAGGAAGGGCTGGCGCACCTGATGGGGCCGCCGCAGGTGGAGATGATGGCGCAGCAGCAGCGCGGCCGGCTGCGGCTGCACAAGGGGCAAAGCCTGCCCAAGCCGCCGACGGGCGGGCCGCTGTCGTCGCCGCGCCACGGGTTTGGGAGCATCATCAAGTCCCTGTCCGCCACCCCCGTCGAGCTGCACTCCGTCCTGTACCAGCACGGCCTCGGGCGCGGCCGGTTCGAGCCCGTCAAGAAGGACGACGCGGACGCGAACCACTGACTGATGCTACTCGATCGATCGATCCACGTGGTAGCGGTAGTACAGGCCTTTTAATTGTCGCGTGTAGTGCTTGCTCTTGGTATTGAGAGATTCAGGGCAGCGTTCGAGTGGACAGGAGTTGAGTGTGTTTTCCACAGATTTGCAGGGTTCGAAAGTCGAAACCCAGATGAACTAATATTTGAACATGTTGAGTTGGACCAACAGAAAATTTGTCCACCAGCTGCATTTGTTTTTCGAGCTTCGGCCTTTTGGCGGGCCGCGCGCATGAAGGCGATTGACCGTTCCCTTTTTTTCACGCGTGGTTGGGCAGGCCGGGTGTTGCTCCGTTCCGGCCTGAGACGAGCCATGTTGGAACGTCGCAGCCCAAAAGTCCAGAACTCGCACGGACTGACGGGCCGTTGCCTGTACTGAGGTTCTCAGTCCACGGAGAGGTGCTCAAAATCGATCTGGCACGACCTGTCAAGACCGGATTGGAAGGACGACATGGGCAGTTGAACACTACCCAATACTACTCTCAGAACAGGATGACGTAAGCACTCTATTCCTCCAAAGAGGAGGGCCTTGTTCCAAGTAAAAATACGTCAAGATTCTCATACACCTCTTAGATTTAGTTCCTTGCTATAAATGTTTTCTCTAGTAAATTAGAGTTTTTTTCCAAATTGTTTGGCTACCAGGATTTTGATTCTTGAAAGAGCTCCTTGCTACCAAGCATGAACAAGTCTCCACACCAAACTCAAGGCTATACATGAGCCGAGTCACTAGGGGAGGCCCAACCCATAAGACTGCGCTTAGGCCACGCCACTGGTGGAGGCCCAGCCCACGAGACCGCGCCGTACAAGGCACGATACCGGTCGACATGCCTCATAAGACTGCATGAAGATTTCCGTGATCTAGGAGACCTACTCGGATCCCCACATCACATCCCGTAATATCTGTAACTTTCTATCTTGTAAAACCGACCAGGATAGAAACAACTGATCTGTAACCCTACCCCGAGCTATATAAGGCAGGTAGGAACCCCCTCGTTTTCATCTGATCATATGCAATACAATCCATAAAGACACAGAACGTAGGGTATTACGTCAAGCTGACGGCCTGAACCTGTCTAATCGCTATCTCTTGCGTTATGTACCACCATCCGGTTCCCTCACGCGCACCTCTACCGATTCATTTACTACCGTAGGTATACCCCTCGATAGACTACCGGACATATTTCGTCAACAGTGGCGCGCCAAGTAGGGGGTGTGTGTGCTGAATTCATGGCGAACCAGATGGTCGTCTTCCAAGCTTCATGTCCTTCCCCGAGCCGGGCCAGATCTTCACTGTCGGATCCATGACATGGGTCATCAGTCCCGACGGCGACGGGGAGATCATGGAGGCAGTGCAGGATCACCCTGCGCCGATCACATCAACACCTGCAATGACATCTCCGATCCCGGCGCCCCGCCACTGGGATAGGAGATCCATTAGCAATGATGATCTGATCGCATCCATCGATTGGGCCACAGACTGCTTAGCAGAATGTCAGCTCCTCGTGGATTCGATCTCAGATCAATCTCGAGCGAGCGACGAATTTCCCGTACTCCAAGATCACCAAGCCGCTGCAACCGAGCGACATGCTCGGCCACACTGTTCAAGGTGGCTAGATTCCGATCAGGTGATCACGGCCACTCCAGAGGGGCTCACGGTGCGACGCCGACCACTTCTCGCTACCGGCCTACGTTTGGCCGACTCTAAGGCCTCAATGGAGGATTCGCCGAAGCCCTATCTTTTTGGATTGGAGGGTGCGGGACCTACGTACCAGAACGCCATCCATCACCTGTTTGTCGACCACGTCGAGCGCGACCACGTCACCGACCTCTAGGTTATCAACCCGACTAACTCAGGTCAGCCCGCGCCTATGGTCAACATGGTGGCTGTCCGCTAGCTTTCGGATGATCCCTCTCTCCCGACCGAATCTCTTCATAACGTTCTGAACGAGAGCCCCGACGATTATTTTGAGGGCTCAACCCAGACCGTGCCAAGCTGCCCTGCTTTCCCTCCGAGGTTCAGGGGCGTGATTTTCCACGTCAGCCACGATAGCGTCACCAAGGACGCCGAAACTGCTGAAGAGCGCGAGGCTCGTCTAGCGAAGAACGCCGACCGCCAACATCACCGAGATGCAGAAGCAGCCCAAGGGGCCCACGAGGATGGTCGTGGTCCATCCTGCCATCAACGCAATCCGGAGGAGGCATTCGACATGGTAGGCGACCAGCCAGTCTACCAAACTCCAAGCGCTAATCTAGCCATAGCGTTCAACAAGCTCGACAAACTCCCTCACACTCTAGAGATCGAGAAGGTTTGAGCACATATCATAGCAGCGCAAGTCCAAGTCAATGAGTTTTGGAACGATGCCCCATCTTATTCCACCGCATTAGCTCATAGCCATCGCTCTCGTCGCGACGGAGCAGGCCAGCATCACGGCGCCGAGGGCCCCCGACCTCAGGCCGGAGGTCCCTACATCCATAGAGGATCCAGAGGCAACTATGAAGCTCATTCATGCCACGACGGCCACCCACCGCGCCCCTAGGGAGGTCGGGGCGGCAACCGCAACCGGAGGTTAATCAACCTATTTACACCAAAAATTGACAAGCTTACCCTAGAAAGGAAGGAATCGGCCGATAGCGTGCATACATGGTATTTCGGACAGCTGCCGAAACAAACAGGAGAATTACCAGACGGTGTCATGTATATATTCTGCGGAGGCCAAAGTAGGAAGTTGTATAACGTCAAACTAAGGAGTATGAATCCAGCGAGAATCCAAGCAAAGCACGATGTTGATCAATGGTCAAAGAAGCAAAAAGGAGACAGGAAAAAAATGTATTTTAATTGGCTAGGCTACACAAGGTGTATCATCTACGTGTAAGGGAGGAAAGGAAATATTATGTATATTTTGGGACAAACGCTTGACGTCCAGGAAGCTCTTCACCGGCCAGAAGATATTATTTAATATATTTTGGGAGAACACAACCAAGGAGAAAATCACGGAAGGTTATCAGAGTTGTTGACCAAATCTATTAATATTTTATTAGGCATCATGTACGAGAGAATTAATTTAGCACATACATGTATAGGACTCTTGTATAGTTGCTGACCTTGTCATAGACCAGGCACCCCTTTAAATATAAAGGGTTGCGGCTAATTGTAAGATACACACATCAATCAAAATTAGTCTTTACTTTTTTGGCTTCACGCCAACCCTTAGGAGTAGGAGTAATGTAGCTTTTTGGCGAGTTCTTCAGCAAATAGGGCTGCATCGACTGATCGACCTCCAGCTTGCTTGTGAGTACCGTCACGACTTGTATTGTGCTTGTAAAGCTGCATCAGCTGATTGATCTTTTATGAGCCATAATATATGTTAGTTATCGATCTGTTTCGTAGTATGTAAGGCTGCATCAGCTGATTGATCTCTTACGAATCATAATATAGATCAAAGTTATCGATCTTATATTAAATAACTTGTTGTTTAATACAATATCACCAGTTATCGAATCTGCTAAGATTAGTAAGATTTTTCTTGCTGTTTTTGGTTGATTCACCAGTTATCGATCTTGTTATAATTAATATCTTATTAATTATAATAAATCGTCTGATTGAGATAGAGATAGATCGGTATCATATCATCTAATTGGTCATCCTTTGATCTAGTCACGCTTTAAATCTCATAATTGATGACTTAATTTCGTTAGATCGGTTGTTTTATCTCTATTTCAATCAAATATAGTATGCATCCAAAGACATGTTTCAATCTTGAATAAACTCACTAGTTAATGAGATCTAATCTAATGACATTACCATAGCTGCATCGATTCGGTTGAACCTCACTGGTAAGACTTTAGATTAGAAATTATTGATTAGTGGTTTTGTTCATGATCGAGATATGTACTCTATTTGTTTGTTATGCCTATATCTGCTATTTTAGACGATTGCCTATGCTCTCACACATATAGCATGTTTTTATGAATCTGTTGACATATAGATGGTTTTATAGATTCTTTGACTTTAGTTTGTTATCATTATCATAGCTGCATCGATCCGGTCGAACCTCACTGTTGATGATAATAGATTAGATTCAAATTGTTTATGGATTCATTTATGGTAAACAGTCGATTGTTCGTGTGTTATAGGCCCCGTTCGGCTGGCAGAATTTTGGCTGAAAACACTGTTATGGCTGAATTGTTGTGAGAGAAAAACACTGTTCCGGCTGAAAAATGAAGCCGAACAAGCCGAATATGGGGTAAGCCAAACGAGGCCTACTCTTTTCATCAAACTTATCGGCTCAACATTTATATTGATCATGTTCTATTTAGCCGATGATGTTTTCTTATATTGCTTTATTGCCGGATATCGACTATTTAGTCGATAGCCTTATTAAATTGGCTTTTTAGCCGTACAATTGGAACTGTCTGGTGCAACACCGACATGTTTCACCTTAAACTACTGATAAGATTTTCTCTCCTTGTTAATTACAGGGTCAAATTGACTGGCACGCCTTTGGTCCCAAAACCGACCGTTCTTGTGTTGAAGCTAAGCATATCTTCGGGTTCACTACGTCAAGATCATCTGGCTTGCTGTGTGTTGATCACATCGCCATATTTTTGTGTCAACACAACCCCTCTCTTGTGACCTTTGTGACAACATCAATGCTGGCACAGATGTTCGTAGCCGCATCGAAAATAGTAGGGCCACACACTACGACGCAGAGATGGAGCATCGCCGACAATTCGACACCGAACATGTGGGATTTGCTGCCCGTCAAGCCCCACTTCCCACCGGCACATCAGGACTTTGCCCCTTCACGAAAAGGCTCTGAGCTGTCTAGTGGCCTGTGGGTTTCAAGGTCCTTGGGGTTAACACCTATGACGGAAAAACCAACCCCACTCAGTGGCTAACTCTATACGAGATCGCCATGAGAGCTGCAGGCGGAGACGAAGACGTCATGACGAACTATCTACCCATCA